TTCTCCTTCTTATTTCTTGAGGAGATAAAATATAGTCAAGAGAGGATGTTCTATCGGTTCGGGTGTTTGTAGTAAAAACCCGTCTTAAGAGCATCTTACCCATTAAACCGCTTGAAAAAGATATGATGATTTTTCCTAGTATGCCTAAAGTCCTTGAACTGGCTAAAAAGAAGCCATGTGCAATAAAACCACTTATTGATATTAAAAATAATATCCTAAAACAACATCGTTGGGCAAAGACAATTTTGGTATCTTTTGCATTCAGTTGCGTGTTTTCATCATCGGCCTCTTGTATTACTGTTTCATCTCTCTTCATTCCTTTATTACTATTGTCCATACTGCGTTGTATCAGTTGAAAAAAGCATAAGCCCACCAGCGAAATTATAAATAATACCGTATAAGACCACAAAATAATTTGGTATCCTAACGTTATGTACGTTTCAGTGGAGTTTGTATCATGTATTTTTACTATAAGGAAACATGGAAGCGTGATGTAATTTAAAAAAAGGCTGGCATATAGCACTTGATTGTAAGAAAGACTATTAAAATTTCGATAGCGTATGATATTAACAGTGGAGAAGAATGTTGAGATAATACATATCATAAGGATTATAGCATCGAAAATTAGTTGACCGGGGCCTAAGTCACAGAGATCACTATGGCCGCAGGTCAAATTTTGATCAATTGCAAAAGAAATAATAATTATTACATAAACACAGAATATTAAATCCAATGAGTAATTAAAATAAATGCTTATAATTGAAGGTTTAGAGGGGTTTGGTTGATTTTGTAAGGTAGAGAAAAGTACACCTCCAAATAAAGAAATAAATGAGAAAAAATGATCATCATCAGGATTATACGGTCCATTACTATAATCGTTGTTAGGGACGTGGTTTTTAGTTACGCTCATTTTGAAGAAAAGTTGGTAGGTGTTCTCAGAGATAATATCTGCTAGTTTTAAGATGTTAATTAAAATTATGATTGAGTATGATTGAGTCAGTGAGATATCTCGGATTTTTATAAAAAAACAAGAGCTTATTAACTATTGACGTTGTTTAAGGACTAGCTTTTTTTATCTTTTTACTGTTTTTATCGATGTATTACTCGTTATGGCACAATACGTCCCAAAATCTTGAAACTTACCCTTAAATAAACAAAAAGTGAGTAGTAAGAATAAATATAATTCGAGTACGTACGTACGTAGTCAGTTTTGTTCTAATTTATCATAAGGTTCACTGCATATGTGCATTTGTGCGATATTTTATCTTTATTTTCCATATCGGGTATCGGATATAGACAATCTAGAAAATCTTAGACGTACGTTAACATTGATCTCCTGATTAATCATTAAAAAATATTATCGATATAAATTATGATATAAAATTCTTAATCAATTTTTTTTTTTTTAAAAAAAAAATTCGAATTAATTATTATAGCCAAAACCGCAGAATTGCAATGGATAATATAGAAACTTAAGATAGTTTTAG